CTCTCCAGCCTGTCCAGCTCCCTCTGAATGGCAGCACAGCCTTCTGGTGGGTCAGCCACTCCCCCCAGTTTAGTATCATCAGCCAACTTGCTGAGGGTGCACTCTGTGCCTTCCTCCAGGTCACTGATGAATACATTGAACAAGACTGGACCCAGGACTGACCCCTGGGGGACACCACTAGCTCCAGGCCTCCAACTAGACTCTGTGCCACTGACCACAACCCTCTGAGCTCAGCCATCTAGCCATTTTTCAATCCACCTCCCTGTCCACTCATCCAACCCTCGCTTCCTGAGTTTACCTATGAGGATGTGATGGGAGACAGTGGAGATACTGGAGATATTCAGAACCCAACTGGATGAGGTCCTGAGTCACCTGTTCTAGGTGACCCTGCTTTGAGCAGGGCAGTTGGACTGGATGACCTCCAGAAGTTCCTTCCAACCTCAGTGATTCTGAGATCTGCATCACATCTGTAGGAACAAGCCTGTGTGTCCCATCTGCCTACTAGACTTCCTGTGCTTTGACTCTGCAACTGTCTTTTCTTTATTGTGCTTTCATTGGACCTGCCAGCCCATCAGTACTGGTTATCAGCACTGCTGCCTGAGAAGTGTTGAGTTTGCCTGCACTCACAGCTATTCTGTACTCTCCCTCTTTTCCTTCCCTCTGTTTTTGAGGTGCTATCCCCACACATCTTAGCCGTGGGAAATGAAGTTCTTTCTCGGATTTTTATGCTTTCCATCTTGCTGTCTAGTGGTGCTAAGCCTCAGTCAGCCTACACTGAGAGTTTTTTGTTGCTTTCTTGCATGTTCTGCACAGTGGGAATTAGGTCCCTAGATTAGTGTTCCTAAAGTGTGATGTGTATTACTATGTTGGCTCCACTGGGTCTGTTTATCAAAAGTACAAATCAGAGCCTGTGTACAAGGAGGTCAAGCTACTGGATTATACTTGTGCTTCAGCAAGTAGTGCTTCAGCCTTGAAGATCACCTTCCTAGTGTACATGATTAAACAATGCAGAGACTGCTGTCTGGGTAAAGGAATCTTTACGCTGCGTATTGTTGCTGGTGGTCTAAAATGAGAATTTCAGAGGCATCTCTCAGATGGAAAAGCATAGATTGTGAACTATGTGAGAGTTGAGGGTAGGTCCTGCTCTGTTACAGCGTTTTGTAGCAGAGCTTTATCTGAATTTTCGCTTCCTCTGGAGACGTATTCAAATTCTACCTTGTTATAGGGCGCCTGCCCTTCAAGGATTGGATTACTGGTGTGTCAGTTCGTGGAGCAGAACTGTGGACATTAGCGCTTGTGGCTTCTAAAAATGAATTTTTAACTGGTTGTGAATGGCTATCAGTCTCCTTGAAGGTTGTGCTGCTTCAGGGGAATGTGAATGTAAAAGCATTCAAAATGCAAGAAATCCACTGCTAAATGCTTTCCTGGGCTGCTTTCCTGTTGTGTTCAACTGAAAAAAAGTGTTGTAAAGGTTCATCACTCCATAAAGAGTTCCAGCGAAGAAATGTTGACTCAGTTACTTTTTGAATATGTAGCAGCCAGAATCTAGTCAGGAAGTGGGAACTCACCACTGAAGAGCGATGGCCTTCAAACTTCATTGTTCAGTGATTTTTCATGCTTGGTGACCACTGGTAGGCTCCGTACTCGCTACTGAGGTGGCTTAATGCCACTCTCTCTGATGCTATTATAGGAAGAAGGCTTGCTTGTTGCTGAATATTTAATATCTTTTACGTTCTCTATGTCGAGTTTAAATCTTTGGCTTTTATCTTACGTTGTTGTGCTTGTGCTGCCGTGTTAGGACTGTAGCACTGTGTGCATACTGGTTGCAGTGCTTTACTTAAAGTATTGATTTGGTTGTTTCAACTCACAGTGCTAATAAATCCATGGCCTTGGCAGCAATTCCAATTGTCAGTGTAAAGAGAAGGTGTTTTGGAAGATAGTGTTTTGGAGAGCGTTTCCTAGAAGGTGATACAGGTGAGTCGCTACCTTGGCATATCCGAGAGTGCCAGCGTTTAAATATGGCTAAATGAAGTTGTGCACTCAGATTAAAATGAGCACATGTAGGAGCACAGATGGCCGGCACAACACTGTGGAAAAGCACGTAGAAAAACAATGATCCACTGGATTTAGACAGATAAAACTTCCTAGCTTGCTGTGTACAGACACTCAGGGGGTTGTGTCATATGAGTGCAACTTTTTAACCATGAGCTACTAGACCATGATCAATTTGTTTGAGTGTCAATATTGTTGGGGAGACTGTTGGGGAGACAGTCTAGTGTGTGCTTATCTTTGTAGGGTTCCTTAAGACTTCATAGGCTGGTCAAGTAGTTGCTATATGTTGTCTGAATGTATATTTCGATTTTTTAATGCCTGTTGCTTGTCGGTTTTTAATACAATGTAACCTTTCTAGGACAGGAATTAACAAACTGTCATGTTCTGATCAGGTTGTTACAAAAGATGTCTAATGAAGTTCAATTAAGTTGAAAATCAGATTAGTAGCAACCTTGTTCAGGTGCTCAAGCCTCTGAATAAAGGTGTACTGTTTGCTGCAAATGAGAAGTGTGATCTTCTCTACAAAAGGACACGGGAATATACAGTATCACTTAAAATGCACTGAAGTGTACTCTAACCTTGTTGCACTCATTCTTTGAGAGACTGCATGATAGCTTTAAAACCGTATTTTACCTGCTTACTGTTTGATCTTTTTTTTCTCATGGTAAATAGAATAGCTTCAGACCTCTCCAGGCTTCATAATTGACAGCAAGTGAAGTTCCTGTTTAATAGATTGTTTAGAGCTTAATTTCTCCTCTGTTCTTAAGGGAATTGGTGTCTCTGAGAAAATAATTGCATGCTTGATGAGGACAGAAACTTTATTGCAGTGATCCAACAACCTGAATACAATTGTGACCACTATACAAGCAACTGCAAGCAAATGGCCCATTCAGAAACCTTACGTAACTGTGTCAGGTTTGAGTTTCCAGCAGATTTGAGTTTGCCTTTTTGATTATCATCTGATGTGAGAGGAAGCTTAGAATTTCAGGTTCACAATAAACCTATTCAGTGCAACTCTTTTATTAGTTTGAACAGTATCTGCAAAGTTCTCTTCATCTTTGGCTTTACTAAAAGAAACTATTTAAACTTAACCAACAAGCAGGGATCCAGGAATTATGAGCAGAGTATCATTTTGTTTTGATAAGGAGCTCTATTACTTTGGGCTCTATCTGGAGCTCTTAAATGACCCTGTTTATCACTTCTACATCATGGAACTTTTAGTACAGTTCCATGCAACCTGTTTATTTTTTAAGAAGAGTTCAAATTACTTTTAACTCGTTTATATCCAGTCTGATGGAAATTCTAGCCCTGGGCATTCCTACTACAGAG